TAGCTATGCCCAGTGGCCCCCAACAGTATCATAAAGATACTTGTAAATGCACATCTGTGATAATTTTGGTATTAAGGTTAAGTTTTGGGGATAAGAATTTTGACACGGATGTTAAACCTTATGGTAACGCTAGTTCTCAGTTAATACATGTAAACAGATTTAAAGCTTATCACAGCAGAGAAACCATAACAAACCTGGTTTGCTGTGTGTGTGAAAGGGGAAACTGAGGCACACTGACTCATGGCCTTGATGGCTGGATGCCAAGAGAAGTATAATACAAACTGCCTTTGAGATAGTCAGTGGTATATTCCTGAGGTACAGTGCTGGGAGCTGGGGGGATTTGGCTCTGGTGCCTTTTTCTGTGTGATTCATGAATGGCTCTGGGAGCATTCATGCAATCTAGCTGGGTGTGGGGTCTCCACATGTGGTTGTGCTGAGTGATAGCACCTGGAGGGGTTGCTGCTGTTCACTAGCAAGGCATTGTGGGAGACATTCCAAGCAGGAGAGAGTTCAGGGGGCACAGCGGTCCCACGGTCTCGGGCTGCACCCTGGGGGAATGCTGTCACAATAATAGTAGACAACCCTTTGTTTTCTATATTACACCATTAATTCTGCAGCAGTTATAGTAGAATTGTGACATAACTGCTCTGAATATTCCAAAACTAGAACCATTAAAAATGTACGCTAGTCTGTTTTAATAAGGCTTGTGGTGGGAGAGCCCAAAACTAATACTATCTGTTCTTACTCAATAAGAGATGATTTTGGGGTCTTTGTCACAAATGATTCTGTATCATGAATACCTGTAGCATGTACTGTTTATCACAGCACACTTGGCCGTTTAGCAAGCCTGGTCTTATGCAGAAATAAATGCTCTTGGAGAAATAACCCTGTTTTTTGTATCCTACGTCACAGCCACAGTCATGACCCTAAAGTTGCTATTCAATGGAAACTAATGCACATTGTTGCAGTGGATTGAACCATTAGAGACTATTCCTTTTAAAAAGCTATTTTTAAATTTTTTTTTTAGCAAGATTCAGAAAAGGGATTGGACATTTATTTCTATAACTAGAATATATAATAGTTAATCCTAACAAATTTTGGAATAGATATTCAATCTTGTGCTTTAGAATTTAAACCACCCTTTAACTGTTAGGGATTCGGAGGAGATCTACTTCTGCCTAATGCAAGGTTTCTTTCATCTTTCTCTGAAGCATCTGGTGCTGGCCACTGTTGGAGACACGATACTGGACTTGATGGTCTATGGCCATGGTCCAGTGTGGTAATTCCTGTGTTCCTGCATTGCAACCCAGATATGCAGTGCTGACACCTGCTGTTTTTTTCAATTATGTCCTTTCTAACTGATGTGTTGTGGTTTTTTTTGTTTTTTTGTTTTTTGTTAACAGGTGAAGTTGAATGGAAAGATAGGTCATTCTGCAGACATTATTTTAATCGACCATAGCCTCCTTGTTACAGCAATAGGTGAAACAGTCCTCAGGTAAGAATTTGACTTGAGACACAAGAGACTTGCCAGCTGGAAGAATCTTGTTCAGCGGTGGACCAAAGATTCAGTTAACTCTAGAGTGCCTTTGTTTTCATATTATTCATCTAAAATAGAAAATTAATATTTTCTGTTTGTTATTCATTGTTTCTTATTCTTCAAAATGAGTTGAAGCCTGTCTAATACTGTTGAATCCCTAAAAGTTTTCACATGCTTTCCTTTCTCCCATGGAATCCATATTTTATCTTCTGATATCATCTGACCTCTTTCCTCTTAAACTCCAGGCTTCACTTTGCCTTTGTCTGTTTCTTTCTCTGGAAAAGTAGAGTCCTTTGATTTTGTGCAGGGAGAGGATGGCCACTTCGTTGTTCTTCCCAACCTGTTGGCTGATTCTTTTGGCAGCATTCGCATCAACAGTGGAAAAAAGGACTCATGTGCCCTCCTGTCAGGAATTCTCTCTTCCTGTCTAGGATAACTGGAGAAGTGCTGTGATGCTTATATATACCTCTACCCCGATATAACGCGACCCGATATAACACAAATTCGGATATAACGCGGTAAAGCAGTGCTCGGGGGACGGGGGGAGGGGCTGCGCACTCCGGCGGATCAAAGCAAGTTCGATATAATGTGGTTTCACCTATAACACGGTAAGGTTTTTTAGCTCCCGAGGCCAGCGTTATATCTGGGTAGAGGTGTACTCTATACTTTCAAACAGGGGTGGTGCTTTGCTTTACTACTGTGCTGAAATATTCTGCATGCTTTTATTTCTTTGTATTTTAAGAATATTTCTTTCCTTTTGGATTTCTAACCTCATTGCAACTGGGTCATCCTTTAACATCTGTATTACTTCTTTATATTTGCATTTCATTGATATCAATGAAATGCCAAGATGGGGCATGTATGTTCAGCAGCATAAGAGGCATGCTTTTCTTGAACATAGGCTTGCTAGTATGATCAGCCACAGTCACCTGGTTAATTTTGGGAGAATGATAGTAAAGAGCCAGCACGATTTTCTAATTGTCAGGGAAGGCATTTGGCTTCAGTGCTTTTTTCCAGAAAATCACCCTTGAATTCAAAGGGCTGTTAGCAGTTAATGGTAATGGGGAGCATTTTAAAAAAGATGGAGAACCATCAGATGGGAACTAAAGGGATATCCAATCCCCTCTGTATAAATGAGGCAGTTTGTTTCCAAATCTTTTTTCATACATGATATCAGAAAACAGAGAAAATAATAAGTTAAAGGAAAAAAGTTCAATAATGAGTGAAAGTTAATAAGCGGCTTCTGCACATTCCATAGACTAGTGGTCTCCAACCTTTTAAGCAAAGATCACCTTTTGAATTTAAGTCCAACCCCGGATCTACCTCAAAGAAAATGTAGAAATAACAGTAATCACACTAACCCAAACACCTGTGGCTCATCCCCTGCCCAGCCTCTTCTATGAGGCCCCGCCCTGCTAATGCCATCCCCCCTCCCTTCGTCGCTCGCTTTCTTCCACCCTCACTCACTTTCACCGGGCAGGGACAGCAGGTTGGGGTGTGGAAGGGGGTGCAGGCTCTGGGTGGGGGCAGGGAGTTTGGGTGCAGGAGGGGGCTCAGCGCTGGGGCAAGAGGTTGGGGTTCAGGAGGGGTTTGGGTATGGGCTCCAGCCGGGCACCGCTTATCTCAGGCGGCTCCTGGGCGGCGGCGCAGTGGGGCTAAGTCAGGCTCTTTGTCTGCCTTGGCCCTGCGCTGCTCCCGGAAGCAGCCAGCATGTCTGGCAGTGGCTCCTGGAGTGGGAGGGGCAGGTGATGCCATGCGCTGCCCCTGTCCGCAGGCAGCACTCCTGCAGCTCCCATTGGCCACGGTTCCCTGTTTCCAGCCAATGGAAGCTGCGGTGCCTGCAGGAGAGGGCAAAGTGTGGAGACCTCCTGCTTCCTCCCCCAGGGGCCGCAGCAATGTGCTGGCTGCTTCCAGGAGCAGTGCGGGGCCAGGGCAGGCAGGGAGCCTGCCTTAGCCTCACTCTGCTGCTGGACTTAGTGGCCGATCTCCCTGTTTGGCTGCAGGAGGGTTGGCAACCCTAGACTGAGACAGATTGTGGAGCCTCTGACAGTCAATCAACCAGCTGATCGCGATCTACCGGTTGGTGACCACTGCCATAGACGGCTGCTGGCAGTTTCATTTTAAAATGAAAATGATCTGGGCATTCCAGGAATAAAAAATGTGTGCCCTGCATTGTATCCCATTGAATATCTTCAGTCAAACATCTGGAAGGATATCACTCTTTAAAAGCCCCTTGTTTTCTGTGAACTTAGGTTCTGGGATTTAGAGCGGAGTGAGAATTATGTGCTCTTTCCAGATGTGCAGCTTGGCTTTGAAGCAGGGGAATGTGTAAACTCTGTCTCTTACTGCACTGTTAAAGGTAAGAAACCCTGTGAGAACCGTGATCCTTAGCTCATAAACCTTGTTGTGAAATGTTTGCCTTCAGTGCTCTGTAGCAATTTTAGTATAGAGTTCTCATATTACTGTGTCCAGCAGGATGCTTTTCAATAGTAACAAATCTGCTGTGGGGACCTTATCTACTCTGCGAACACAAATGTGTAGCTGTTTAAAGTAAGGTTCTCTCATGACACAGTTAAAGCACGGTTCCATCTTGGAGCACAGAAGGGACCTTAACCCACTTACAGCCATGTGATATTTCTTGCAGTTTCTCCTCAAGGGAGGTTCAACTGGATTGTTGGTATCTAGTCAATGTGGAGAGACATTGGCAGAGCTGTATGGGGATGCCTGCATACTGCCTGTCTATAGTGTTGCAAGTCTTTTTTATTTTCATGAGCACAATTCTGACTGTTGGATTACAAATAAAAATGGTTATTTTTTACCTCATTTAATGTTTGTTGTTGTTTCTGAACTTGATTTAAAATATAGAACAACTTTATTAACGGCAGGTCTTCTAGCAGCTGGTACCAATAAAGGGAGAATAGCTATGTGGAGGAAAGCATCCGTGTCCAATCAGAGCACACGGGCATTGGAGGGCAAGGACAGATGGAAGCTTCAGACCCCTACAGAACTGGAGGGGAATATCACTCAGATAAAGGTAATTCTGGGTTGAGTTGATCCCTTTCCCCTTTAGGATTGTTTGCTGTCAGAGGAAGGTGTTGGTAAATCTTTCTAATACTCTGCATATTCCCTGTATCCTCTGGTTTCCAAATATTAGATTTGGGAAGAGAAGAGTGTCAGACAAAGTGGACTAAATATGATACTTTGCATTTCTTTGACACTTTCCATCTGAGGCTCTTACAGCACTTTACAAATAATAACTTATCTACTTCACAAAGAAATAGCGTTATCTGTGTGATCCTCTTTTATAAAGGTGTGTAAACTTGCAGAGACTAAGGCCCAGATTTTTAAAGGTAATTTGGCATTGCTGTGTTCAGTGTTACGATGCCTAACTTATTTAGGAGCCAAAATGTCATTTTATGAATGGATCTAGGCACTTAGGAGGCTTAATCCCTGACTGTCAATGGGATTTTGGCTCCTGATTTCCTAGATCCCTTTTGAAAATGTGTTAGACTCCTAAATCAGTTAACTGAGCACCACAATACCTAAATACCTTTTAAAAATCTGGGGATAGGTTACATGCCCAAAGTCACACAGTAAATCAGTGACAGATCTAGGATTAGAACTTGGGATGCCAACTCCCAGCTGTGTGATTTGACCACAGAACCATTCTTCCCCTCCAAATTGGAGACAAAGAGCTCAAATGAGGACTCCAGATATTTTCAGAGATTTTTTTCCTCCTAATATGTATAATTTCTCATATTGCAATGCCTTGAAATTACTTCATCCTAAAACACATGTTGGAACATACACTTGCAAATTTGCCACAACTGCTATTACAGAATTGTTATTTCGGTATAAAATCCTGTGTGGACATTCTTACTCTGGAATGAGAATGTCCACATGGGCATTTATACCAAAATAACTATTCTGGAATTAATGATTTTGGAACAGCTATTTTGGTAAATTTTCAGGTGTGGACGTACCCTGGGATAAATACATTTCTCAAAAAAAAAGCGGACTATTCAGCTGAATATTCCTCACTTGTTTGTTTTTCTCCTCCAGGACTTGGCAAGTTTGGGATGCTTCTAGTGTAACACTCTTGAGAGCAGTTAGGCATGCGCCATCTAGTAGAGAGGGAGTTGATCTACCGGTGGGACTAAACAATCACCATTGTCCTCAAACCAAACATCTCTATTTTAATGTCTTATTGATCAGGAAATCCATTTGATTCAGCATCCTGATCTGGCTTTCTGGCCCAGGAAAACAGGAAAGTTTTGCTTTCAGATCCTTCTGTGATATTTTTTCAGCCTTCCGTTTTCAAATTTGTGCCTTTTTGATTTTTTAAAAAAATTTATAACAACTTTAATATATAATATTATTTTGTTGCCCTGTTTTAACTTGAGGAACAGGCCCCTACGCTCTTGTTTGTTTGTTTGTTTGTTTGTTTGTTTGTTTGTTTGTTTGTTTAGGAAGGGGGAGTCAGTCATGAATGTATCTGCCTCTTTGCAGGGGAAGGGAGTCTGAGATTCCTTGTTTCACTTTTTAGAATGGAAAGTATAGAACATAAATAGTGCCTAGTTGGGTCACTGTCTCGTGCTGCCCCAGGCACTTACATTGCGCTGTGCGACCAACTGTCCCTCAGTTCCTTCTCTATTGTCTTTTGCTTGAGTCGGAGAGATTAGCACCTCTTTCTTACTTTTAGATAAGATAGCTTATAGTTAATAGTCTACTTAGTAGTTAGATAATTAATTGTTCTTACCCTTTTATACTTGTCTTGTTTTGTTTTATTTTATTTAAAAAAAAATTTTTCTTTCTTTATCCACCTTATTAGGAAGATAAGGCTAGGCTTCTCTAGAGTTACTGCTTCCCTTCTTAATTTGGGACAGAACCTCTTTGGCATGCCCGGATCACCAGGATTTAAACATTGCCTTGACTTGCAGACTGTCAAATCCCTATCTCTGACAAACATGCGCAGTGTGTCCACTGTCTCGGAGAGACACACATCCGTCAAAAGTTTACTGTGATGGAGTGTGCAAACACCACACTGGGCAATAAGGGTTTAAGGGATTATTTTGGGCTCAGCCAACCTGCCCCGCCACACCTGACTACTAGGCCACGCTCCCCAACAAGACCCCAAGTGAGGACCATTACATGTCCACACTGCCATAATCTAAGGACCAGAACAAGAAAAGCGAGGGACCTTCAGCTTAAGCTCCTTATGATGGAGAAACCTCTCTGAGACCTGCGTTGGACCCTGAGTCGAGGATCCGCCAACGGTTGCCATTGGCAGCCTCTGACGGAGGTCCTGTCTCAACAGCTCCTACAAAAGAGACTCTATTCAAGAAGGCTACAAAAAAGCAGGCTCAGATTTCACTGCAACGGGAATTGGTTAAGAAAAAGCAAGTCTCCAACCCCCAAGACTACCTTGGTGCCAGTATCACCAGGCACATTGGACTCCGAGACACTGGGACCTTCCTGTACCACGTGTTCCCAGAGAGTGAAAGACCCTAAGTGGGCAAGCTCAGATGGAGGCACACAGGGCAAAGTAAAACCCTTCACCTCAGTACCCACAGAGCCAAAAAGACACTCTGCAGCTGGGGGCGCAATGATGTCACCTGTGGTACCTATACAGCACAAACACAAGATCCTTGGCACAAGTGGCTACTACTCACACTCACCACCGCAGCACCGACATCGGTACCAGCATTCACAGTACTGTACCAATTCCCAAGACATACAGAGCTACTGGTCTCTTCAACAATGGAGTTCCCACTCCTCGGTACCGACGGCACTCCAAATTGGTTGGTACCAAGGCCCCTGACCACACCACCTAGATCGGTTCCCCCTTTCTCCAGTGATAACGATGATGATGATGACAAGGGCGAAGGGGAAATACATGCACCTCATCACTCTTCACCCAAACCAGAACCATCCCACCAAACAGAATACCACTCGTCTTTAGAGGCATATAGCTGATATGGGCACCCGTGGGCGCCGCTTCCCGTGCCATTCCCACCAAATTGGCCCTACTGGGACCCATTGGCAGTATACAGGGCACAACATCTCAAGCCCCCCAGCCCACCAAGATCTAGAACACCACAATCATCATCTTCACCTATACCAGCACCCTCAGAAACACAGAAGGAGATGACTGAGGAAACTGAAGAAATCTCAGACCAGAAGCCTTACCACTGGTGAACCTGTCATCTTCATCACCGGATGAAACTATAATGCCACCACCTCCCCACAGGAGATGACTTCAAACAATTCCAGGAACTTTTCAAAAGGGTGGCAGAGTCCCTGGACGTACCCCTAGAAGAGGTACCTGAATCGCAGCATAAACTGCTAGACATACTTCAGTAACACTATCTTTGCCTAGGAAGATGTCTGATTAACGGTACTATTATGGAACCTGCCAAAACCATCTGACAGACACAAGCAACAGCACCTCCCTCATACAAAAGATCAGACAAAAAATACTATGTGCCATCTAAAGGAGTGGAGTTCTTGTTCACACACTCCACACCAAACTCACTAGTGGTGGAAGCAGTAAATGAGAGGGGAAAGCAACACCATACTAGAACAACCCTGTATGACAGAGAATGGAAGAGGTTAGTGTGATGTTGCACTCCATATGTTTTATGGAAATATGCTTATGAGTGTGAATATGTTGTAACTGGAATATGCTTTATGCAAAAGGTCTCTTGTAAGGTATCATAACAAAGGTTATAAGCTACTGAACATATTCCTCCTATTTGTATGCATGTATCATTCTTGTATCTGAAGATAGAAATATGAAGTATAACTCTGAGGTCCTATTGTAATTATGCAACGTGTGGGCCATTAATGGTGGTTTAGAATCTTGATGACTCCCATTGACTAGAACAGTTGGTTGTAAATGGTTTATTTACCTGCACTCCTTCCTGTGTACGTGTGGGCCAACCCAGGAACAATGGAGACTAGGGGTCTTACAGTGACATGTGACCATGTCACATGATACTGGAATCCATCTTAATCCTTGTACTTTTCCATTGATGAGGTGGGGGTGGGGACAAGCACAGACAAAAGATTCTCGGCTTGTGCCAAAGCTATAAAAGAGGGTGGAGCAGGACAAAAGGGGCGGCCAGTCATGAGAAAACCCCTGCTTACCACCTGAGATGTCTGCTGGAACTAACAAAGACTGTACCAGGGGAAAGGATTGGGCCCAGACTAGGAAGAAGTCTAGTCTGTGAAAGAAGCTTATTGGAACATCTCTGAGGATGAGATATTACGTGTAATCAGTTTCTTAATGTATTAGGCTTAGACTTGTGTGTTTTTGCTTTATTTTGCTTGGTGACTTACTTTGTTCTGTCTGTTATTACTTGAAACCACTTAAATCCTACTTTTTATACTTAATAAAATCACTTTTGTTTATTAATAAACCAAGAGTAAGTGATTAATACCTGGGGGAGCAAACAGCTGTGCATATCTCTCTATCAGTGTTATAGAGGGCGGACAATTTATGAATTTACCCTGTATAAGAGTAAAACGGATTTATTTGGGGTTTGGATCCCATTGGGAACTGGGTGTCTGGGTGCTGGAGACAGGTAACCTGCTGAGTTGTTTTCAGTTAAGTCTGCAGCTTTGGGGGCGTGGACCAGACCCTGGGTCTGTGTTGCAGCAGGCTAGCGTGTCTGGCTCAACAAGGCAGGGTTCCGGAGTCCAAAAAGGCAGGGAAAATGGGCTCAGAGGTAATTTCAGCACATCAGGTGATAGTCCCAAGGGGATTTCTGTGACCGAACCCGTCACAGTTGGATCTCTTCGATCGTCACAAGGTGTATTCATCTGCAAAACTGCAGTTTCATATAGCAGTTTTACGAAGCCCTACTGTCAAAATATACACATGCAATTTTTTCCGAAAATGTTGGAATTTATTGACCGCTTACTGGAAGAGAAAAAAAGAACAATGTAAAGCTAACATCGCCGAAGGCCATCTCATTGCCAGGACAGCGTTGCAGGCCTCACTTGACTCCGCAGACACGGCGACACACTCAA